TGCTCTTGTCTGTTCCTGTTCATAGACTTACCTTAATAATATCTATAGATCAGATTTTTAAAGGGCCAAGGACAATACATAATGGAAGCTTCTTGTCTCTCTCGGCAAACCTCATCCCTTTCCCCCTTTCTGTTTGTTCCTTTTCATTTGTCATCCTTTCCTGTTGGTATGAGTGAAGTTATAAACATTTTGGGGAAGACTTGTGTCTACTTAATCTGTTTGTAAAGTACCATTCACACTTATATTTCCATTGAAGTTGTTGCTAAAAGATCATTTAAGAGAGGTCTATTTTGGGTTTTTTTTCCCCTTTCCTATTGGTAACAGAATTTATTTTTACCTGCCATACCTGAATACAAGATACAAATGGATAGACTCAGCTGGATTAGGTCTATCTTCCTTCTAGGCATGATTGTTTCCTGTAGGACAAAATATATTTGCCAGTGTCTTCTTCACAAAAGCTTTTAAATCATGGTGACATGGCTTGAACTAATTTCCATGTAAACTGTTCCAGAGCCAAATGATAAACTACCTCAGAGTATGTCTTGTTATGGAAATAGATGTGTTTTTAATCATGTCCAGTGCCATGTACCAGTTCCTTTACTCTTTTTTAATGTACAACACATACTTCTTAATAATGCCACCCTCTTGTCTTTCTATGAACCTCTTCTTGGCACTTATTCCGCTGGTGTGTTGTTTTCTTGACTGGAAAGATAGTGCCCATGATGTATGTTTTCAAGAGCTGATCAATCTCCAGTGGAGGCTTCAAATTAAAAGGGATTAACAAACTGATTACTTCCTTTTGTGGATTGGTCCCTCCCCTGCTTGCAGTCAGTAACAAACTGATGCCATTTATTGAAGTAACCATGTGTGTGTGTGTGTGTGGGTGCGCACTTTCTACCCTTCCCTTTCCTTCCCTTCCCCACCCCCATATATTTTCTTTTTAGGTTGTTCTTTGGGGCATCTGTGGAATTTGGCCCTCTTGTTTTCTTGCAGAACTGGAGCAGGTTTGCTGTTCTGAAACAATAATAAGAAACAGCATCAGACTGGAGTGGAAGTACTGCTTCTCAGATGCTGTGAGTGGCAGCTTCAGAAAGAGAATTACATAGAGAAATTCTGTTCATTTGTGTCCCTCTTTCTCCCTTGTCCCCACAACTGTGGCTGTGGGTGTGTACAGAAGTTAGGCTTTGCGTAATGAAGCTGCCAAAAGCGCTCTAGCTGTAATATATCAAATGTCGGGGGCTGCAGAGTGCTTTAAAAATGGTGATGAAAAATGGCATGATAAACTGGCATGAAAAGTTAATTCTAATATGATGTAGTATCAGGTAAAGGTGCCCCAGCTCTGGCTGCGGCAAAGCCAAGCCAGCAACTGTGAGCTGCTGCTGTCAAGAGCTTGGGGCAGAGTTTGCGGGGATAGAGTCCCCCTGCCTCACAGGCCTGGCCCAGCTATCCCTGCTGGAGTCTTAGGGGGACCCAGGCTGGGTCTGCAAGGTGGGGGGGCTCAATTCTCACCCCCTGGCTCAAGGCACGGCAGCCAGGAGGCAGCAGGCAAATAAATGCCTGTTAGGTTCAATGGCACTCTCATTATGGTGCTTTTGTGTAAAGTGCCATAGTTAGAGTGCTGCCCTACCAGACTACCTAAACATCTGTACACACCCTGAATGTCAGTGCTTTGCTTATGACATGGCTTTCTGCCTCATACCTATACTGCATAAAACCAGGTCCAGTTACTAATATTCCAAGAAAAAATGGCTTTTTATAGGATTGGGAGGGAAAGGATGGATTGAAATTTAAACTTGGAGATGTTTGGCTGCAAAATAAAAGGCCAGACATGGAGGTGTATAATGGTTCAGTAAAAGGGTTCAGGCTGAGATGTTTGCCATTTAGGCATAGCACAGTAATTATTAACGACGCTTACCTGTCCTTCCTATTTTCTTCCTTAGCTGTGGCCTGTCTTGCTAAATGGAGGCTTATGGGCTGCAGTCAGTCTAAAAAAGACAAGGTATTAATAGTTTCTTCTCCAGCAGGGTTCAATGATATGGAAACTGGCTTACCTGTGTTTTAGTGTGCCAGAGCCTGCATTCTTTTAATTTTTTAGATATGCTGCAAAAGGCTGTCTTTTTTCCTTAACCTCTTCAGGGAGAAGTTTCCCCAGAGGGAGTCACTTCTGTTGCATCTTTTATACTGTGTATTTCAAAGGATGGGTGTTTTTTAATATTTGTATATATCTATATCTATAATATAATATGTTGGAGCAGATTCTCAGCAATGTAAGTGTGTATAAGCCCACAGAAGTCAGTAGAGCTATCACTATTTGCATCAGCTGAGGATTTTGGTAGCAGAAGGTCTGAACTGAAGCTTTTCTGAAGCAAAGATCTCCTTGAATAAACTGTCATTCTTGGTGCATGAGAGCACCAAAGTTTTGTTCGGCATGTTGTTGTTGTTGGGAAAAAGTGACTGAAATGACCTCTGGGTGCTGCTGACCAACTAGATTATCTAATTACTCTGGTTCTATTTAGGGAGAGTCAGTGGTTACAGCTTGTTAGTCATTGGCTAGTTTCTACAAACTGGATGTCTGGTGCTTTACAGTAAATATTGAAACTAATATACTGATGTGATGACCGTTAAACATTACATTTCAGTAGGTTTACAGGATTATTTTTATTCCTTTTCTTGTGTGTGTGAAATCGTATAATATTTTAGCAACACAAACTGCCGACTTGTATATTTTTTAAACTCTACCTAATTCTACAATGGGAGGAGTTCATGCACTCTGAAACTGGACTGATAGCTGTGAGACCTGGTACCTTAATTAAGAATTCTAAACTGTTGGATGAAAATTAGATCGTTAACACATGCCACATACACTAAGAAATCAATTCTGGAAGTCTCTCTTTTGTCAAGTAAGCCATTGTTAGGATAGTTAAATAACATCTGTGCTCTTCTCCAGACAAGTGGCCTAGGAAATATACTGAGGATCACTGACCCAATATTTTCCCTGTATTTAAAAAAAGGCATAAATTTAAGAACTAAATATTCTAGTATGCAGACAGATATTCTGGCATTGAGACTGCCTGTCTCAGATTTCCCCCTTATTAAGATTAGTAAAGTACGCTTTTGGTCTAGACACTTACCCAGCTACAAACAATGAGAGGCCATTACTAGATTGAGATTCACTCTGAGATCTGCAGTTGTCATGGGCAATTGGTGTCAGACCCCATGTTCAGACAGAACATCTGCTTGTGAGAAGAATGAGATAGATGACACAAATCCCTATTTGTGGTCATACTTGTTCTTTGAAGAAATAAGAGGAAAATTAATCTCTCCATTATTGGGAAATTCTAAATACTGTGTTAATGAAGTAGAAAACATCTGGTTTCTGTAACATTTTGGAACCTGTCCTGTACTCCTTATATTTGTGTTACATGCACAAAGAATAGGGTCCAAATAGAATTCTCATGTTTTGTTTTATTGTGCACTGCTTCATTTTATCTTTACTTTTATATCATCATATAATGTGTTCTGTTTTAATTTGGTTTAAACTGGTAGAATGGATAATCTTACTGTGTAAATTAGTAAACATGATAAATTATATGTATGTTGTTGCATACAATTTTATTGTTCATTTTATTGTATTGTTTTGGTGAAAGCTATAAATAAGCTACTACTACAACGACTGCTACTGCTATATTTTTCATATCTTACAGTGCCTCCAAAGCCAAAACATCTACAGAATTTGTCTTCATCCATTACATACCAAACTCCAAGGCATAAAGCTTTACCAAGATCAAATCCAAGAATGGAGGAAGTTACATCTACCTCTGCTTCTTGTGTCTCAAAAGAAAAATCCAGCAAGGTGTCCGATCTCATCAGTCATTTTGAAGGAGGCAGGTGTGTAATGTATTGCCTTGGTAAAGGAGTGGGGAAGGGACAATGTTTCAGTTGTTTTAAAAATCATATTGTTTGCATATGAATGAGCTATAGTATGTTGCATAAGTGAATGGGAGCATATGCAGTAGACAGATGCAGCCACAGGGTGTTCTTACTGAAGTCAACAGATGTCTTGAAACTGGTTTAAATGGGAGCACAGTAGTGTCCATAATAAAATGTATGTAAATGACTGTTCAGGTTTTGTTGCTTCTCAGTGTAACTTGTATTTTGTACAAGTCACATCTGGGAAGCAACAAAATATCTACATAGGTAGACATACTACGGATGTCTACTTGTAGTATTTTATGCTAAGAAAAAAATCTTTCAATTAAAATATGCTGTATATTAAAATGTCTTTGTTATGTCGCTCTTGTTTTGTAGGGCAGTATTTTTCCTACTGTTTACAATAGGCTTTCAGGTAGTACCTGCGTGTGTATAATGCAAATTATTTATGAAGTATTAGTCTCTCTAGTAAAACCTAAAGTAAAATAAAGAATTTTCTTGAAAGAATATTGAATAATGTTCATAGCTGGGAATAAGCAATATAAAATTCTCCAGGTAACTTATAATTCCTTATTTTTTTTAATAAACATATACAGGCCCTGCCCTACTTTGCCAATGGGATGTCTAAATCTGTGTGGCCTCTTGTCAGGACAAAAAAGCATCTTACCTCTGACAGCTTCTCTTATCCTGTCCAGGGTTAGAATTATGCTTTGACTCTTGGGGTGGGGGCTGCAAAAAAAAAATTGGGAGGCCCATCATGATGACCTAATAAAATCGGTCATTTTTCTGGTTCCAAGATGGCAAAACCCCTTGCAGAAAGGAGTACTTCTGGGGGCAAGGGGAGGGACTTCTGGTGGCAAAGGTCAGGGGTCAGGGGGCGGGACTTCTGGTCAAAAGATGGTGACCATGGTTGGGGCACCTGCCAAGGGGTTGGAGCTACCCATGCGGCTCTTGACAGCTTGCCAAAACTCAGTAAGTGACCCTCCACCCAAAATAATTGCCTGCCCCTGGTTTACATGGCTAGTCCCAAAAGGTGAGGGGGGGGTACAGGAGGGGGAGAAGTAAGTTCTCCCTGACATGGCCTTCTGAGAATCCTTCTGAAGTACAGATGCCCACTGAAATTCCTCACCATTCTTTGCCATGCTGGTATACAAGCAGTGGTTCTCAATAATGGATCTATCACAGATACATTTGAAGTTAAGATGGGAGTTAAGCAAGGCTGCATCATTGTTGAGGGGCACCTGCCAAGGGGTGGAGCTGCATCATTGCTCCAACAGGCTTCTCAATATTCCTTACTGTGATTCCCACTGGAGTGGAGCTAAACTACTGAACGGATGATACGTTTTTTAATCTTTTGGGACTGGCCATGTAAACCAGGGGCAGGCAATTATTTTGGGTGGAGGGTCACTTACTGAATTTTGGCAAGCCGTCAAGAGCTGCATGGGTAGCTCCGCCCCTTGGCAGGTGCTCCGACCATGGTCACCATCTTCTGACCTGAAGTCCCGCCCCCTAGCCCCTGACCATTGCCACCAGAAGTCCCTCCCCTTGCCTCCAGAAGTACTCCTTTCAGCAAGGGGTTTTGCCATCTTGGAACCAGAAAAATACCAAATTATATTCTAAAAACAAAACACCTACAGCATTCGTTAATTTGATTTCAAAAAATATTTCTGTCCCGATGTACATGTTTTTGGGTAGTGTACATAGAGGTGATTGCACAACAGCTTAAAAATGAAGTCTTACACTTGTATATTGTAGGGGGTGGGCATAAGTTTCTGGGGGGCTATGGGTGTGTGGGTATGTGGGGTGAGGGAGCATATGGGGGGTCTGGGTGGGTATGGGGTTGTGGTGGTCTGTGTGTATGGCAGTGTGAGGGAACTGTGGGTGCATGTGTATGGTGGGCTGTGCATGTGGGACTTGCCCAATGAACACACCAACACCCACCCACTCTGCCTCTGGCTGCACACGCACACACCCCCACAACCAGACGTACACTCACACGTCCTACCAGACCAGGTCTGTGCTCCCTGCTCCGGCAATGCAGCCAAGCTATGTGGTGTGGACAGTGCTGGGAGGCAGGGAGTGCAATGACTGGGCGTGGGGTGGGCTGGGT